GGGGGGGGGGGGGAGAAGGTGGTGGGGGTGGACTGTGGCGCCCCTCCTTCTGGGCAGCAGGGCGGGGGCGGCAATTTGCTCCTCCCGCTTCTCCCTCCCTCTTTGAAAGACCGGGAGGGCTGTGCTTGGGGCGGGGGGGGTGTCCTCAGGAAGTTCCTGATGGGACCCCGCTGGGCAGGGCCACCCGGCTCCCGAGCTGCTTTCCAGGGTCCCCTTGGGAAGAAAAGGGTCCGGTGGGCGGTGGAAGAAGGCGAGCGCCCTCCTCCCGCCCCCTGTCCCGTCCCGTCCCTCCTCTTGTCCCCTCCTCCCCTCCCCGCTTAAGAGAGAAAGATCTGCCTCCCCTGCACCGAGCTTCCACCCGGCGCCGCGTCTCCCGGCCAGCGCGCGCTTGCGACTTGGGAACCGGCCAAGCGACTTTAAAACCGAGCGGAGGCCAGAGATAGCCGGAATTACCCTCCACACCACACACACACACACACACACACAGAGAGAGAGAGAGAGAGTTGGCAGCTGTCCATCCCCCACCCTTGGAGTCCCGATGGCACGCACGCGGGGGCTGTCACAAAGAAAGGGAGAGGAATTGAGTGCCAGCCTGAGAAAGGCGAAGCTGCCTCTCTAAAGCATTTTGGTGGCTTTGTAAGTTTGGGGGAAAGGGGTTGGGGGTGTCAATCAAGAATTATATCCAGAATACCCCAAGTGTTACAACTTACCGTATTTGCCGGCGTATGAGACGACTTTTTTGCCTTGAAAAGCATGCCTCCAAGTGGGGGGGTCGTCTTATACTGCGAGTATATAACAAAAACTATATTTTGAGTGGAAATGTTGGGGGCTCGTCTTATACGCCCAGTCGTCTTATACGCCGGCAAATACGGTAGGTTGAATATTAAAATGATGTTATGTTCAAATACAAAAATCTTTCATAATAAAGATGGAGGGTGGAAGTTTTACCAAATCTGTAATTAAGGTATGAATTGAGCAAATAATGCAAAATTCATGCAGGAACCTTTCCCCATAGACTATGACAAATTTTTTCAGGCTGCAGAACTTGTAAAAAAATGCTGAACCCCAATCAATAACCCTAACCCTAACCCTCTAGTGATAAAAAATAGCTGTGTTTAAAGGAACTTACTTTCTTGTCTTTAGTCTCTCACAGGACTTCGGTCAAATGCTTGTGGCACCTGGAACATTTTTAAAAATCCTAATCTAAGATAGTGATGGACAGCACTGTAGTGCCTGGGGGCCCTGCTCAGTTTAAAAAGGGCTGGGGGCAGTGGTGCAACATAGGAAAGAGTTTTGACATGCTTTTTCCTTTTTTGACAGGATCGAGGCTTTCCTGTCCTTTTGTGAGTTTATTCCAGGACTTACTCTGCCATTTTAAAACATTTCCTTGCTCAGAGTGGCAAGAACCCACAGTACTGACCTTCCCTGCTTTCAGGGCTGCGGGCAAGGAGAAATTTCACCTCTTCAATCTGTAGAATGCATTAACAGCTAGTCCTGAGCTGGCAATTCCTTTTATAAGGCACATCATCTACTGAACTCCCTGAAACTTCACTGGTTTGAACTATGGAGCTGACCAACTTTAAACTGACCAACCTTGGCAAAGAAATAAACATTTTTTTTAAAAAAAAAAAGAGGCTGGGTTTTGATGCAGGGCACTTAAATTCCAAAGCACTTGTTTCCCAGTTAACACGCCAAGTTGAAATGTTGCCAAGATCTTTCCCTGATTCCATCAAATAAACCATGTGTTCTCTGTGCATTAGCATCTACCCACCCCTCTTGGTTTCTTCCTTGTTAACTTGTCAGTCTGTTGCTGGCACGTCCCTGGAAACAAAAGCTCTTGTTTATCTTTTCAATTGGTGACAAGGCAAGCAAAGAACAGAATAACTTCCTCAAGCTTGGCCGTCACCAGAGCCCAGGATGAGTTCAAGGAAATGCCACAGGAATAGGCATGGCAGACTTGCGAGCCTATCAGCAGCCACCCACTTTTTGCAAGACCAACACAGTCCCAGGGTCACCTTGGGGACAGAGCAGCCTGTCTCTTCTCAAAGAATCTAACACTATCTCACAGAAATTACCATTCTGCACTGTGGCTTGACTGGAGTATTTTATTCAGGGTTCTTGAGAGCAGTGAGCAAACAAGGAAAAAGTCTGCTTGTTAGCTGGGTAATAACTATCTTTCGCAAGCATGCTTGTGCCTGTATTTGCAGACATGCTTGTGAAGATTTTGTGAGGGTAGACAAGGAAAGAAGTTCTGTGCATACTGATACTGCATGCCCTAATGTAAGCTTCCTCTGTTTTCCCACATATTAGAAACATTGAGCATGCTTTAATAGAATGGCGTTCGACTTCAAGCTTTCCAGGGTAGACCCAAACACTAAGATACTCAAATGTAGTCTCAAAAAGAAGCTTCGGCAATGCTGCTGGCTTTGAAAAGGCCATCAGAGGCTGATTGCCTTTTGCTAAACAGCTGTTGAACCACACCTGGGCGCCAGTAAGTTTCTGTGAGTAAATCTTGATAATATAGAAACTCCATTTCCCTGTTGTCCACTTCCTCTATGAAATGCATTTTGGATGCATTTGAAAGCAGGGGCCATAAAACCTACAGATTTTATAAAGTGTACCAAAATCATTGCGATTTATGTGCCACTTCATGGTTATGACAAGTATGTATTGAAATATGCAACAATTATTTTCCCCACTTACAACCCAGAGCCCCCTACACACAGACAAAGAATTTCATACAAGTTCCTTCTTGTCTTTGGCTGATCTCAAAATGTTGGGATCAAACAAACATGTCGGAAGTGGATTAATATTTGGATGAGAGACCATGAGGAAATCACAGCGGTGGAGGCAAGACTAAGGTGGAGATATTTTAGAAATGAGCAGTGCTAACCAACTTCCATATGATTGCCAAGAAAACATCATGTATTAATGCAGTCGCCAAAAGTTGAGCTTGACTCAATGAGGCTTTTAACAATTTTTTGGGAGAGTTAAATTGAAAAAAAATTGAAATATCTATGCAATAGATTAGATAACAGTGTTACTAATGCCATATCCTTTAATGAAACATGACAGTTGAAACACAAAGTGATCAGCAGCCAAGCTGAAGAAAAGAGTATTTCCAGCCAATTAAGGACTGCAAGGAAGCTGGGTAGGAGTTCGTATTCCCTGTGAGTGAGAGGCCTAACTGGCCAGGTTTTGGCA